TCGTTGGCTGTTTAATCGGGCTCAGTCGACAGTCATATGTGTCTTTATGGGTTCAGAGATCCGAAGATCAAAGTACTGAGTTTTACCAGGATTTTGTAATGATCTGAGAGCTTGGGAGTCTGCTATCCATCTTAGCCAAAAGTCTTGACACCTGGCTGAAAGGCTTCAATACTTTTTCAAGTTCTAAAAGTTCTAGCAGCCAAGTCAGCTATCCATCAGAGTTTTTGCATCACATTGTCCAAGACGTAAAGAATAAAGTGCTGGGCGTTAATCAATCCCATCGAGGGTGTTCCCACGCATTCGGCTTCCATTCAGAATCTCAGTGGCGGATTGAATGCGTATGTAGGCTATACATACATACAATGATTTTAAGTGACCAGCCGATAGACAGGTCAGTGCGTTTATCCTCCCAGACGAGTCTGATACCAATTAACCGACCCCAGAGGAATGAAAAGACTGGGTGGCCTCTGAGGATATCCATCGGGGATTTATCTTCTACCACTTTTCAAAGGGTATTTGAAAACTTACATATATTCCTAATGAATTCGCCATGTTTCTTAGGAATTTCTGGCATGAAGCATTGTTGGAACAGGTGGTTAGTCCGCATCCCCAAGAATAAGTCAACCAAGCTTCCATATCGTCGAACAGACCACTCTGAAAAGGAAGCTACAGTTATACAGCTATGATTGATTTGAGGTTTCATAGTTAATGCGCCGAAGATCTGCTCAAATTGTTCTAGACCTTTTGAAAAAAAAAATCAGAAGGCGATACTGGGCGATCGGCCCATTATGTTCTACAAGACCTTCCCTATACCCATTTTTTTGCAAAAAATTGAGAAAGTGATTCAGCAGAATGTAGAAAATGATTCGGAAAAGTTTTGGAGCCCTTCTGTATCCAGACATTCTTTGATGAAGTAACAAATTGAAAAAATTGATCGCAGAGAAAATGCAGGTCAAATACTGAAAAGATCTGCTTCTGAATGGCCACAGAGTACCGTAGCGAAGTTTCTGGGCCCTTTCTGAACCCCTACTGATATAAATATATGATATGTGAAATATAAATAAATATAATATAAATATATAATATATGTAGTAACTAATCCTTGGGAGACGGGCGTTAGGAACGATTTTGGGTAATCGATTCGCCGCACGCGGCTGTCGCAGACCACTCATTCGCCGTTATTACAGCTCNATAATTCTACTATTAGTACTTTTGTTCTTGTATTTCTTACCTACTGGTGCATCCTGCTACATTCCTTCGCGCGAGACGCCCCTCTCACCGCGAAGCGGCCACTTCGTTTCTAACGCAAAACACCCGCTAATTCTTCACTTTGTTTTCGGAATGACTGGGATTTCTATTACCATTTTTCGTCCCCTACTAATTTTCCGATTTTAATTTTGAAGAAGATGTAACAATTCAACCGAATGCCACTTCCAAGGCAATTTTTTTGGAAACCTATTCACACGGTAAGAAATGGGGCCGAACACCGGCAAATTCAGAAAAAAAGAGTTACATGGGATGATCTCCTTCTGAAGGGTGCAACAGGAAGCTTCTGAGGCTACTGTTGAAATGCCTGTGATACAGCGTTGTGACTGGTATTTCAAATTATTATTGAAGTATGTAAATTGAATTTTTATAGAGAACCACCAACCCCCAGTTTTTTCTGTTTCTGGTATGCTCTAAAACTGTTTCGTTCTTTCAGAGTTGCTCATATAGCCATATGATCCATCAATTACTCTTGTCAGTAATAAACGGGTGAAGAATGTAAAGAGATTCTCTTTTTAGTAAGTAAACAATGGGTCTTTTTGAAATGTAAACTTTTTTTACTTTGCAAACACGCTGGCGCACGGTTAGGTCCTACTTACTGGTAGGAGGTGAGGTATCGCTCACCAACCTGCGCCCCTTTAGTGAAATCTCATTACGCCAGTGGGGACGTTCAGATAGGACATCCCTTGTCAAACCGAAGCTCCCTCAATTCCGGAAGCACTAAAAACTACATCTTACTAGGACAGGAATCCATGTTTTAATCTTTGTTCAGGGAAAATGAGAATAATGGATTGTTCAGAGTATATCCAGGTAAACCCCGGCATCATATCCAGGTCTACTTGGAGGTATAATTTTGATCCCGGCCCCCCTGAGCAAAAGATTCATCGGATTGAAAGTGGCTAAAGGAGAGGCCTATGCAAAGCCAGGGTTTAGCAGTGATACTTTACTCTCTAAGATTGCATAATCGTTGTCAACTTATGAGCTATGGGGAAGCAGAAGGTAATAGCGAGTGCCGGGAGTTCATTGCAGAACTGCTTGAAGTCACAACCTCGGAAGAACCATTATTTACTGATTTAATTAGTCACTCAATGTAATTAATTCGAGGAATATTGCGTTGCGAAAAGTCTGCCCTTTGACATATTCCATCGCATTTTAACAAGCGGATGCGAAAAAGAAGTTCAACGAGCTGAACTAGCTCAGCTGATCGATTCGGCCGACAGATGCCTATAAATCGAATCTGTACTGGGTCGCATATAGATTGGGAGAGTCACGATTCACGAGCTTCAAGGTCTCCAACTCGAATAAACACAGGATGGAGGATAAAGTCATCGTGCGTTATTTAATCCTGTCAGAAAGATCCTTCACCGCATTCAAGTTCAATTCAAAATCTAACTGACATATCGAATGAATGCATATGTAGCCTACACTTGATTAGCCGATATACGAGTCATGCTTTTATCCTCCCAGACAAGTTTTGTAGCAATTGACCGGCCCTTGAAGGATGGAAGCCTTGGCTGGCCTTGCGGGCATCAATGCAGGATTCGAACCCGTGACCATGCGTGTGTGACAATGCGCCACTTGCTATGCACCACCTCCGCCCAAAAAAACGGGCCAAATTTTAGAATTCAACAGCTGTTAACCGTAGGAAAATTTTTATAAGGTGTCCGAAAAAATCAGATGCTATTCATGGCGCTTTGAAAGAAAACATTCCCAGGGATCCTTCTCCTGGATAATTCTGTCGTTGCAATTATGAAATAACGGATGAAATGCTTACCAATATCATGATCAACCCGAATGAATCATCATTCACTTCATTTGTTTACTTGCTTTATTTATTTATACTTTTGCATTTATTTTATTAATTTATCGTAGTTGACTAGTTAGCTATTTACTAATCTATTTCTTATTATTTATTTTCAGATATTATTGACTTGATTATTAGTACTCGGTTGTTAATATGATTGTTTATTTATTCATCTACTTATTTTTATGCTTAGCAGTTTAACTATCTCACTCGAAAGGACAAAATAGTTTTGTTCACTTTACTAGGCCGCTTTTTCATTGCTACAACTGCTGAAAGGAGCCCTCGAATTAGGTCATGAATGACTAATTAAATCAGTAAATAATGGTTCTTCCGAGGTTGTGACTCCATGCAGTTCTGCAATGAACTTCCGGTACTCGCTATTACTTTCTGCTTCCCCATAGCTCATAAGTTGACAATGATTATGCAATCTTAGATAGTAAAGTATCACTGCTAAGCCCTGGCTCTGCATAGACCTCTCCTTTAGGGGTGCGCTTCGTTGCGCGCGTCCGTCGAAACCAGGTCACGCCGCAGCCTTCGCACGCGGCGGATCAGCTCGCGATCTTTGACAAACGTCGCAGTTGACAGCGGGGCATACGATTTGCGGTTGGTCCACAGCATTCAGCCAATAAAGAAGAAAACACGACCAAACGCAAATCATTCGCTCCACTGACACTTGGTGGTACTGTAACGCCATCTCGTGCCCCAGAGGGGTGCGCCGCGCGCGAAGTGGGCGGGGTGACCTACTCTCGATGGACGCGCGCAACGGACGCTCTCCCTCCTTTAGTCACTTTCAATCCGATGAATCTTTTGCTCAGGGAGGCCGGATCAAAAAAGAACGTTCCGTTATATGAGGTCTATAAATTGGATCTGTGAATCTGTGCCATAATAAGAGCATTCAGTTTCTCAGTAGTCAGTCTCCTGGGTGTCGAAAGGATGGACCACCATACTGCTAGCATGATGGAGACATGGGTGAATATCACTGAGCACGGATCGATCCTCGTCTCAAAAAAAGCCACCCATGGGCGAAGACCGATGATGTTACCGTCCTACGGTGCAATACGGTCGGAACAGTGCTTTTGCTGTCGTTTGTTCAACGGCGATGCTGCTCTCCATAGGTATATGACCCCATAAAATTCTTGGAGACAATTCTTCTATTAGTTACATATACGAATGTTCGAGAAGGTAAGATGGTCTTCCCTGTCCATTCAATCAGATCTTGTCCAAGCCTTATACCCATATTCGAAGTAGTTCTTTAGGGGTTCGAAACCCAACCACACTGTTCAGATTTAGAGCCCTTTTCGAGCTGTTCTGGGCACGCCTGGTTACAATTTTTCATAGCCTGTAACAAAAAAGTCGATGGTGAACCTTCCAATAAACCAAATTCTTGAAAATCCCGAAAATCTGGTTTATTGGAAGTTATTGTGAAATTGTCGGCAGGTACTTCCTGCTAACCTTTGCTATCTCTAATATCGTTATCGACTTGTTACTCTCATGAAGTTATTCTCATAGAAGACTACGATTCAACTGAAATCTGTCGGCCTTCAAAGAAGCAAATTTTTCAAATTCAAACTCACAAATCAACTTGAGAGATTCAAACTCAAAACCTTAAAAAGGAGAGTTTATGGGGACTAAATTCGAAAGGTGTCGAAATGTTTTTCGGTTAAACCCTCGAAAATTAAGTGTTATGTCTTCTCGTTGGGCCAGAAACCAAAACAGAATCCCTAAATTGGATTTGTGCAGACTGTTGGCCCGGAATACGGAATGCATCTCTTCCTTGTACAAATTTCCATATGCCTAGAATGATTTTGATCTCGCCAACCTCTCCGTAACTTTTCACTTACCCGATTCTAAAGACCTTCTTCATGTATCTTCTCCATTTTCAGCCTTATCATCAGTGATACCTGGCGATCCAACGTAGAATACATGAAAGATGTACTCATATCGACGAGTTGGCAGTGACACTATAGGAAGAGTCGATCGTGAGCCGGCACCCTACAAACCGAGCTATAGAGCATACCGGGAGACGGTAAGTGGATACGAAATCGTATGAAAAGATGTCAGATAACGACTATGATGGCTGAGCTTATGTGCAGCCGACCGGGCGCCCTCCCACAGCCGCTCCACCCCTCCGTAACAGCCGCTGCTGTTTGCATGAGATTTCGGCAGCGGCACTATTTTGGCCCGTCGTGCTCGACCACCACCACCACCACCGGCTGCAGCCAGTCAGCTCTTAGCTATCAGCTGATACTGTAGCCAGTACAAAGCCATCCCCATCCAGCCTTCTTTCAGACATCTGCAACACCAACTCGAGTTGTGTCTCGTGCCAGTTCCTACGACGCATTCGCTGCTGGTGCCACCAGAAAACCAATGTCGTCACCGTTTTGGTCTGGGCCGGATAGAACGACTACGTCCTCCTATACCAGGCCCAGTTATTCGGGAATGTCCACTTCGTATACGGCCGACTACACTCCATCTCGGACTTACTCTAACAGGTACTTCTTACCTACATTTGGGTGATTTTACCTTTGGATTTAGACGTTGATTTGCTGCCAAAAAGTAGTTTTTCCAGAATTTTTGGTTTGTATCGTTTAGCTTTCTTTCTCTATACGAATGATTTGGCGCTAGACTTCGCCATTCATGTGTAATGCCCAGCTGTTCGCTAGCTATTGATTATATGTATAGTGGGGACAACTGAGATGTAAATATTGAGCTTTGACCCGGATGAGAGCCCCAGTTCAAAATTCACAGTCGAACCAAAAAAGTTACTCCAGATATGGAAGTACGGACCAACTGACTTATAAGTCGCCATACAACAACAACGTCTCAACGACGGCCTACAGTAGCGGTACGCTCCCACGATCCAACACGAATTTCCNCGAATGATTTGGCGCTAGACTTCGCCATTCATGTGTAATGCCCAGCTGTTCGCTAGCTATTGATTATATGTATAGTGGGGACATCTGAGACGTAAATATTGAGCTTTGACCCGGATGAGAGCCCCAGTTCAAAATTCACTGACAGTTGAACCAAAAAAGTTACTCCAGGTATGGAAGTACGGACCAATTAACCTATAAGTCGCCGTACAACAACAACGTCTCAACGACGGCCTACAGTAGCGGTACGCTCCCACGATCCAACACGAATTTCCCCAGAGCTGGAAGCGTAGGTAAGCAATTTGATCGAGTTTTAAGAGCCCAATTCATAAGACTGCCTTTTTCTCTTGGTGCAGCAGCTCTTGACCGGATTCGTCAAGAGCCCTATACCATGGAGGGTAGCCTCTTCGGTAGACCCATAGGAGCAGATTCTAGTTTATCTATTTCGATGACAATTTTTATTCTTAGGAATTTCGATGAGGGATAGCCCATCTCGTAGCTATCGCGATTACACTCCTACCTCCTCATACACCAGCACAGCATCAAGGTACGTCTAGAAATTCTTTTTGATTGACAAGATGCTTTCTTTCCTTAAACTTTCGTGATATTTATATCCTCCCTTATTCCTGCCTCAGAGTAATGTTCGAGCTATCAGCCATTTTCCGCTGATCCTACGGCGTTTCCTCTCTCTTTCTTGATCAGATAGCAGAACGAATAAATCAGTCACTACACCACGCCGCTTTCGCAACACATTAAGTTCCCACAGTCCCCAGCTATATGGTTGGAAGGGTTACTTCTGATCATGAGAGGAAAATCAGGTTTCTGGGGGTCGAGACTTCATTCTGGTTGTGGCCCATGCAATCTGCTTCCATTCACAATCTTAAGGGCGATTCAATGAGTGCCTATCCTTTGAAAAGGCTTACGAAGCTAGCTGTAGTGTAAGTAAATCAGTACTCCAACTCCCGTTGAGGGTCTGGTACCCACTCGCCCACCATAGAGAGATGAGAGGCCGTAGTGGATATACCTGGCTACCTGAAAGGGCAGCAGGTGGTTTGAAACTTGTTCCAGTATACTGAACGCAGGATTTGTTGATGATGGTTGGTCCTTGGTCTTCGTTGGTCCTTAGTCCTCCCGGTAGACGACCAGTTTAAAAATCAGATCGTTGAATTTTAAAGAGTTTCACCTAGAAGCATTACACTACAATTCGACTTGATCAGCCTTCACTCTGTTAGCTCACAGTACAACTACAGCAAATGTGTATCGAAAGGCCCGAAGATCGAATTGAGCGCAGTACCAGTTCAAAAACTGCTCTCTAGTTCTTTTTGCTGTAGGTAAACAGTGGCCGCTCAAAGCTCGTTATCGAGTTTCTCTCCGAAAATGAGCTCATCAATGCTACAATTAGGGTTTTGCACTGGAATTGAGCTTAACGTTACCACGTGAACTTGCAAAAGATTACCATATGTGAATCAAATCCCCTTCGACTATTTGAGCATACTCTTCTAGGCATCCTGTTCTCCCACAGCCTTCAACCGATCCCGTACAAGTTAAGATCTCTCAAGTATAGAAAAGCTCTCTTCCACTTGCTGGTTCACCTTTTTCATTCTCCTCCTTTCTTTCTACGCGTGGGGCTTTCTTTAAGCTCTGAATTCGACTTCTTCTCTTATCGAATGTTCTTGCGGCTGTTATAGTTCGTGTGCATAGCACTATAGGCATTGAGGCTTGACTGTCACCAGATCCCACCAGCCGCAGGTCCAATGGCAAACTCAACTCCTCGGAGTGAAGTTGCCTCTCATGATGCTTGTCTGCAAGCCACCACTAGCTTTCGTAGAGCATCGGGGCCTTTTTACTCCAGGTCGCCTTTCCTTAGCTCGTTGTGGAGCACCCTCGATCACAGAGAGTACCAGTGGACTCCCTCGGGAGACGGGCGTTAGGAACGATTTTGGGTAATCGATTTGCCGCACGCGGCTGTCGCGGACCACTCATTCGCCGTTATTACAGCTCTAGCGTTCTTCATACAGCTCAATCGATATGCGATCATTATTTTATGCATAATTCTACTATTAGTACTTTTTCTCTTGTATTTCTTACCTACTGCTGCATCCTGCTACATTCCTTCGCGCGCAACGCCCCTCTCACCGCGACGCGACCATTTCGTTCCTAATGCGCCACACCCGACTCCCTCCATTTCATCCACGCTGCATTCATTCGAGTCTACTTTAAATATAGAATAGGTATCAGGATAATATTGAGATTCTGAATAGATGGCGTAGCGAACTCGCTGTTGACTAAATAAAAGATTAAAGCTGCTACTTTGACTTCACTTTTTCATCGAGGTAGGTGGTAATCTCTAAAGATCCACCGTTATCACGGTTTTCCATGTTGTAGTAGTAGCTATTAGGAAGAAGGCCAAAGACAGTTTCGTTCCACTTTCTTTCGTCATCTAATTCTGTCATATAAAGATGATCGGGTTCGTTTTTCGCCAGATCTTTGTTTATTCATGGAAGATACTACCTGACAGTTCCCTAACTCAAAAACTTCGAGTGCGGAATTACGTCATCCTCTCAACGTTTTGTTGGGCTTCCTGCTGTTTGTAACTTTGTCCCCTCAAGTAGAATTCTCCTTCTTGTTTGAAAATGAGCCATGTTTTGACATTCAACTGCAAAAAAGTAGCAACCTGAATTAAAAAATGGTGCCCCCATGCACAGCACGGAAATCACTTCCTGGAACGAAACCGCTCAGGTGAATAGGCTTCAATACGTCCGGAATCGGTAAAGTGGTGAAGGATTCGTCTGATAGAGGAAAAACCCCTCACTTGAAGGCATTGGTGCAAGGTCGAGCATGCTGAACAGTTAAGAGCAGACCGTAGGGACTGCTGAGAATTCAGCCTTGTCCCATTTCTCGAATCGACCCTATTCCTACGAAGTTTTTCTTTATGAAACAAAAATTGGCCTTATCAAAACCTTAGTAGTCGAGATTTCGTCTAATCACTTGAAAGCGTCATTAAAGAATGGTAATGGCCATAGACAAAGTCAGGTACATTACAGATTTCCGAGGCCACTGTGAAGTTCTCCGATCATTTTGACTAATTTCCGTTATTTTACTGATTTTTGATTTCTCATACTCGGTAGAGTGAAGATAATCTAGCATGATATCATGATACTTTCAAATTTACTCAAGAAAATTACGGTAAGGAATGATCACCAAGTCATCAAATGGTTCAAAAAGTGGTCAAGCTTTCATACCCAATCTACTAAGTCGCCAACACTATTTTCGAATAGTTTTTAGTACTCAGTAAATCAGTGCAGTGGTTACTGAATGATCAGAGAGTTTGAACAGTATTACCTCGGATTTGCACAGCGAATTTCCATCGCGGAGTACCCGTCTTTATTCCCATACGTATATTTCCAGTTCGTTCTCATATTGAACCAACGTCAAGTTTGGTTCTCGCACATCCTGCCATTTCATCCCATCATCAGGATTATCATTCTTATCACTTGTTCCACCTATGCTTGATATATGGGTTGCAATGAAATAGCAGCAATTAGATCTAACCACCCTAAGAAGTAGCTGCTGTAAGCCCCGAAATAACTTTGATTTATCAGGCCCATGAGCATGTTTTTTGTCCCACTACGCGACCATGTACTTCATTGCGTATAGGCTTTCAAAAGCAGCCAGCTTTGCGCAGCCACCGCAAGCACCTCTTCCTAGATTACAGCACCACCGTTAAACTTCCGAGTTTGAAGGGATCAAAATCTCCAAGGAGCTTTATTACGACGTTCCAGAGTACCAACTCGGCGGCACTTTGCCTCAAAAAACTGAAGAACCATCACAACTTTGTCACGAGTGAGTCGAGTAATAAGATCCTCTGGGAATCTGTATACTCCTCTTTGAGAGCTCGACAGAGTAGCCCTGTCACCTCTGAAAAACTACCATCCTCATACTATTCTCATCTTCCTTCGTGCTTGCGTAGGCTGAGGAATTGCACCTTCTTGGTCCAGGCAAGAAAACGTTTGGATGGCTGGAGTGATAAATTGATGTGAAAACTTTTTTATTCTTGACTTTTTCACGCCATGATGATTTTAAATATTTTACAACCCTCACATGACGGTGGTGGAGCATATACACCGCAAAATTAGTTTCGAACAGCTGCTTGGCGCTGTTGGGAGAATTCACGCAATGGTGGTTCAAGTGAATGAGGAATAGTACGACAATTTCTAGCCATTCAGTAGTGACAAAGTCTTTCAAAGGAATGACTGTGCTACCTACCCACGGTCATACAATTACGAATAAGCCAACATATCCAATGTGTATTCAGGAGAATATCGTTTTCAACCAAAATTGAAAACCTTGAAAAAAATGGTTGGAGGAACTTGCTTGCTGGCTAGGTTGTGTCAATGAATGGTGGAAAAGCTAATCACAGTACTGAATCAACCCGTAAAAACATACCATAAAAGGAATGTTCTAAAGGAAATATTGGTAGGGGTGACCTAGTGGTGCTCGGATTCTCATTTCAAGCGGTTCTGTTTACGTTCGGAATCTAATATCTCTCTCAGCAATACATATTGATTTACTTATTTACTTACTGGGAAGGGTTCTTATTAGTAACCGGACACTCTATTTAAACTTTTTTCTTTTGACGAGTTTTTTGTTAATCCTTTGCAGTTCAGATCTCAATTAGCAGGCTTTATTACCTATTTATTTATTCGATTAGTTTTTCGTTGCACGCACAAAGTTCTTTCACAAATCGTCCGACATCCAGCACATATATGTCATATGTCTTCTCCTTTGGGGTTTCTTCTCCAAAACCACGTGATTTTCCACCCCATCCACCCAAACTTCACCAAACTTTCCAGTAGGAGAATAGGTGAACTGTTGGGAATTGAAGAATGGAGGTTATACGTTTCACATCGGTCGCCCCGCAGATTACAGCACAGCAAAAAATCCATTCCTTGCAATTTTAGGATAAAGGATAATGCGTGGCGAATCATGGAGAATTCGATGACCTCCACCCCTTTCGTTTATCAATACTTCTGTTGAATTACTATCAGACGACGTACTCACAAAGTGGTTTCCAGAAGAGAAATCTGTAGTATATCAAGACAATTGACAACAATTGCCTCAATCCACAGTGTACATGTAATTACGTTCTTGTACTTCATCAACGTGAACGTACGCTGTTGATGGTGTCCCTCTCTCTGCTGTGCAATCCGTCAGAAACCTCGGCTTTTACTACAACGACAAACTGGATTTCATGGAGCACATTAAAACGAGGATCAGAGTAGCCAATCTTCGGACATTCCAAATTTTCAAGGGGCTGTCTTTAGCTACAAGTCGTATGTGTGACCTCTGGTCGAATCCAGCACTACGGTTTTCGACAGCCAGGAAAGGAAGCATGTCTACGCGCTTGAAAAGGTTCAGAACAACTTTACTCGTAAGCTACTCGTTCGAATTGATTGTTTTTTAGTACTCCAGCATAGCAAAGGCAGCGATCAAAAATCAATATCTTAGATTGACATCTTTTAAAACGCGACGCAGGGTTTTCGATCTTTGTATGGTTCACAAATTTGTACACAGAAGCTGACACATTCGAGGACTACGGGTGGCTCCATGAAGATTTCTTTGGCAACTAACCTATAACTAGCTTTCGGACGAGTAGCTTTACCATTAGTGATCATCTAAAAGTGTTAAAAAATATACCTGTCTCTTTATCGCTAGCACAGTTCAAACGCCAAGTAGTTAAGTTGCTGCTGAAGGGCACCGGTCCTAACGTTTCTGAGACTGATTATTTAACTAATTTATCTTTTATTGTGCATTGGTTGTTAGTACAAATGTTCGATATTTACATTGCGTTTTGTTTTCTTTCTCACGTTTGCCTTCCGCAGGCGTAATAAACTAACAACATACAATCTGGAACAATTCTTCAGATATCGTCCATCATATACAACCGCATCGTCATCCTACCAACCAACGAGTCATATTGATTACCGATCCCAAACACCTGGATATGAAAGGTAACTATCCTGTTAACAAACCATCCTTTTTCACTCCTTAGATCCTTTCTGATTTGCAACTATTCCAGGGATAAAACCACCCGTCCGAATCGATTCGATCGTGAAACCCGATCGATGACTAGATCTGAGCGGAATTCAATCGACAGCTCAGGTGTAGGTTTCTAATTTATCGAACTTCTAAGGTCATGATACCACCCAGATATAATCAATAAGAGATCCGTGGCGGTCAGTGTAAAGTAGAGGAGGGGATCGAGGTATGGTCGGCTGGTGGGAATGTATCAGAGGAACAGCGGGTGGGAGCCGAACAGATGTTCGAGCCGTGGTGGTAGGTGTGGGTGGTTCCTGAACATTCTGGGGTCGGCGCAGCCGCTAAGATGTGACCACAGGAAAAGGTATCAGTGGAAGGGTGTCAGAGGTGTCATATTTCAGGTTGTAGTGGAACTTTACGATTTTTCAGGAGGATAATGTTGACAAGACCTTCCAAAAGCTCTACAAACGCTACGTTAAAGATGAGGATTTCAAATCAGCCAGTGAGAAAAACTTGGCAGATAAGAGTGAGTAGCAAAGCTCCAATATACTTCAAAATATACAAATTCAAAGTTTCATGGCAGAAAATCTTTGAAAAAGTCTTTGCTTTCGGTCAATTAAAGCTTACAAAGAATTTTGTCGCTTTGTAGAGAAAATTCGTTCGTTCATATCGCACAGTGAAGCCGAGGAGGAGGGTTCATCAGAGGAAGAGCTAAGCCCTGAGGAAATCGACAGTTCGTTCGCTGAGCAGCTACGTAATATGCGTGAGAGAATGGTATGCTACCGTGATCTACCGTCATTTCGACTAATTACTCTAGTTTGATTAATGAAAACAAGTAGAAGACAATAAGTTTGATGTATTTCTCTATACTTGTTAAGGGATGCATGAAATTTTCGATAGTTGGTCAGGGGCCCTGAGAAATCCCCCTCTGCAGGGCAATTCTAGGGATTCCTTCAAAAGAAGTATTGAATACCCCCCACTGTTTGCCAAGTGCTTCTCTTCAGGAACGTTACTTCCATTGGATTTTGGGATCTGACTTCATCGATGGGGCCATTTTGTCCCTACGTCGATCTGTTGATCTGCATTTCTGTTTTTGAATTTCATTTTATTGTGGGAAACTGCCTGAACTTGTCGCTCTTATTCCACTAACATACTCATGTTAGAACTGAATAGAAGTGTAGTAAAGTACTACTGTTTAGGGCGACCCATTTAAAACTCCTAGTGGATCAGGGAAGAACTCACCCGACGCAACGCCCAAATGCTCCCCTATGATGCCCCGCAAAAGAGACGAGGACCTATCCAACGCCAAAGGTGAACTTTTATTTCTTTATTTGAGCAGCTTTGTAGGTTTTGAAGGGTTCGAATCTGGCCTTATTCTCAAGCATTCCCTATCTGGTGGCCAACATTGACACCTGCTCAGGGATATTCCATTTCCGTTTCAGTTGACTTTGAGACGATTCATGAAGATCCGTCCTTCCTTCATTATATGCGTTTACAAAACTGCCCTTCAACTTGGTTTTTTTTCGTTCCCATTCAAAAAAATATCGTAGACATATGTACATGCTAATCAGGATTAGAAACAGACTGTGATATAATTGCACGATATTTCAGCCGGAGAGAAGGCAACCGAGAAAACGGCGGCAGGACAAGTGGAACCTGCTATGGCTGCAGTTGCTAGTAAAACAGCAGCAGAAGAATTTCGCGAAAAGCACTCTACACTAGACTTCAAACCTGGTACGAAACAGATGATCATTTTTTCTTCAGTCGATCTTCCGGGTAATCGAACTGTAGTTATAGAGATAGCTGCAATTTATTAGGTTGATGCATAATTATTGCGGATTTTTTCGCGGCTCTTTTTCTCTTTTAAGAATTTGACTTTCGAGTTCGGGTTTCTTCTAGAAATTATCTACTCGATTTCCTCTACAAGAATATACTCAAAAAACCATCCGTATATCCGCAAAATTAGGCTTTACTACTTCGAGAAAGAGATTTCCTGGCGGTCNTCCTTGAAAAAGTCTTTGCTTTCAGTAAATTAAAGCTTACAAAGAATTTTGTCGCTTTGTAGAGA